ATGACAGTGACTAAAGTATTTATAGTTTTGACTTAGTCACTGCGTATTTACCCATTTTCTGCTAACAAGAAGTGCAAGTATCCTCTTTTAACTTTTAATCATTTTTACTTTATTAGATTCTTTATAAATTGGATAAAGTATTTAATTGGTGTCTGACTATAGGATATTATTTTATTTAGTCCGTCAATTATTAAAAGATATAAAATTATCTCTGACTATATAGTGTCGTTTTGTTGAGTTACTCGCTATTAAAAGTTACAAAATAATCACCCGATTATTCATATGTTCCAAACTCATCTTTCTTCGTTAAAAAATTAGCGATTGACTTAGTTAAACGTTAACATGATGACTAAAATATAATAGTTGTTTGAGATTTTATGATCATATTTTATCATATCACAGTCAACGGGTTAATGTTCAACTCAGATTGTTGTCAATTTTTTAACAAAAAAGGACGAGTGTGGAAAAATAATGAATTTTGGATGACCATTTTGTAACTTTTAATAGACGATTGACTCAACAAAGTAACACTTTATAATTTGATGATTATTTTATAACTTTTAATAATCGATAAAGTGCAGTCAATAACCATTTATATATTTACCCTTATAAATTGTAGCTCTTGCTTTTTTTTTCATTAAAAGGTTTTACAATGCTATTATAAAAAATGTTTTACCCTGATTTAGAGGTGCTTATCGAGAGAGTTGATCGCGAGTTGGGTAATGCTCGACTCGTTGCTCGTTAAAATTGTGCTCAACTTGTGCTCGTTAAAAAAATTTGCTGCTCAACTCGACTCATTGCTCGTTAAGCTCGACTGTTGCTCATTAAGCTCACTAAAAAATTTACCTATTTTTTTTAACTAAAATTAAAATTTACTAATACTATATGAGGATATTAGGGTTGGGTTTTTTATATTAAAAAATATTATTAATTAATAATATTTTATTATTTATTAAAAAATAATAGATTAGTCAACTTATTTTTTTATTATTTATTAATAAATTAATAAATTTATTTAGATTTATTTTTTTGAATGAAATAATTTTGAAGTAATTATTAAAAATATATTTTAAAAAATTAATGAGTTGTTCACGAACTTATCGAATCAATTTAGATTTTGCTCAGCTCAGCTCGTTAAGGTCTCGAGTCGAGTTTGAGTTTGAGTCGAGCCAACTCGAGTCAAGCATTTACCGAGTTTTGACTGAGTCGAGTTCGAGTAGCTCACGAGCTGCTCAACTTATTAAACACCCCTACGACTTAAAATTCTATAACATCTCAAAATATAAAATCCAATGTTTAATAATTTTTTCTATATTAACAATAAAAAAATACCATAATCCTATCAATTAACTAAACTAAACCTCGATGTTTAATAATTAGCCGTATTATCATCTAACGGTAACTTTTCAATAGTTAGCCGTTGCCCTTTTTTAAAAACACTCCCCTTCTCTTTTCAGACAGGCAACCTCTATCTATTACCTGTTTGTAGATCTCCGCTACAGAGAGAGAGAAAGAGAGACTTTTTTTAACTTCTTTAAATGTTCATTCTCTCCCTAATCAAAAGAGGTTATATTTACATACACCGGACTTCTCTTCTTCATTTGGAGGTGTGGTGGTGCTTTTCTGGATAGAAAATGGAACATATATCTGATGAGAATAATAATCTCACGAAACCCATAAATTTTCAAGGTACATCTGGTTTCATTTCCTTTTAAATTCAATATCCAAAACTGGGTTTCCCCATAGATCTAACATGTTTGTTTTGAATAAAGGAGGAGGCGGTGTTGCAGGTTGCGGAAAGTTTGGGCAGGAGATTAAGCACAACAGAAGGGCTTTGAGTGTCATCAATCACAACTTAGTGGGAGCTAAAGCATTCCCTTGTGTTGTTAATAAGAGAGCCTCGTCACAGTATATCTCCCACTTCCTTTATTCTTTCGTCTTTCAATTGTTTCTCTTGAAAAAATCTGAAGATTTTCCTTTTTCTTTTCTTTCTCAGAAGAAATGGATGTTTTGAAAGCAAGCAGGTTGATCCTGTGCACAGACCTGCTACCAGGTTAGAGTTTTATACTTTAAATGAGAAAAGGTTCAAAATTTGGATCTTAAATCTCAGTCAACTATAAAAAGTCGTGTCCTTTTAAAATCCTGAGCTTTTGCTTCATTTTTTGACTTTCAGGAAGTTTTCTGCCCAAATTACCAGAACTAGTCAACAGCATTGCCCCTAGGTACCCACACTTCAAGAGAACTGAAGAGTTTGAGTAACATAGACAACAACATTATTTCTAGATTCTGATGTCTTGTCCTTTTAACAGGAAACCAAGAAGCTGAAACCATCGGTTCCAAGTTCAAATGCGTTTGGAGATTGTATATTTGTAGATGCGGAGGAAAATAAGGCATCTGTAGACCATCCAGTACCCATGTTCTTGGAAGAATCAGAAAGCAGCCTCAGTGATGCCGATGAGATGGTACCTACTTCGCACATTCTTTCAAACATTGTTATATTATTCCACAGATTTAAATTGCGGGTATTACGGTCGTACAATAATGGTTTTGGACGATACCATTATAGCTATATAGCTGGTGCTCTTCCTATATGGGACCACTTCTGAAATCCATGTGTTATTCTTCACTGTCAGAAGTTGACTAAAACGGGGTTTGGTGAAATTTGATAGGAGGAAGTGGAAATGGAGGATATAATTGAAGAATCAATTGTTGATATTGATGGTTGTGATGCAAAGAATCCACTGGCAGTCGTCGAATATGTCGAAGATTTGCATGCTTATTACAGAAAGATGGAGGTAAATCTATCCATATCCATTATGGGATTAGTTTCCTTTTTAAGTCGAGCAAAATTTTAGTTACTCTGCTTAAACCAATTCTTTGTATCTATGCAGAATTTTAGCTGTGTTTCATCTAAGTACATGGAGCAACAATCTGACATTAATGAGAAAATGAGGGCTATACTGATCGACTGGCTCATTGAGGTATTTGAATTGTTCTTCCCTACTAAACCAGTGCCGGTAAATAACAATGAATGTGCACTAAGGGTCATAATTGGTTTGCAAAATCAACAGGTGTACGACAAATTTGACCTCATGGGGGAGACGTTATTTCTTACAGTTAATCTCATAGACAGATTTTTGTCTCGACAAACGGTGGTGAGGAAAAAGCTTCAGTTGGTTGGACTGGTTGCTATGCTTTTGGCATGCAAGTACGAGGAGGTGTCTGTTCCTGTCGTTGGAGATCTAATCCTTATATCAGACAAAGCTTACTCCAGGAAAGAAGTTCTGGACATGGAGAAATTGATGCTCAATACATTGCAATTCGATACGTCGTTCCCCACTCCGTACGTTTTCATGCGGAGGTTCCTCAAGGCGGCTCAGTCCGACAAGAAGCTCGAGCTTCTGTCGTTCTTTTTGATCGAGCTTGCGCTGGTGGAGTACGAGATGCTTAAGTTCCAACCATCACTACTAGCAGCTGCTGCAATCTATACTGCCCAATGCAGTCTACATGGGATCAAGCAATGGAGTAAGACATGCGAGTGGCATAGCAGCTACAAAGAAGAACAGCTACTGTGAGTGTTCATATCTTCTTCTTCTTTTCGTTTCTTGCCAAACAAACATTATACCAAATAATGATGTTTCCCCCCCCCTTCTGGTTGTTGCAGAGAACGTTCAAGGTTGATGGTTGGTTTCCATGAGAAGGCGGCAACAGGAAAACTAACAGGGGTACATAGAAAGTACTGCACATCCAAGTTTGGTTTCACGGCAAAATGTGAAGCTGCAAAATTTTTATTAGAAATCCAACAACCATAGCTCATCAGGCTATTGATTGACTACCTAATTTTTAGTAATAAATTGAGCAACGTTGAGTTGCGTGCACATGGGAAATGTTAAGCAAATGAAAAAAAAAATTAAGCTAGCATCACCAGCCTGGGTTGTTGGAGGAAATGTCTTTACATGGTTATGTATGTTCATATTGAACATAGTTTAATTTTCTCACTGTAATTTCATGTATTTCCCTGTTACACTAATAAATGAAACACCATTCTTTTTAATTCCATGTATTTTTTTCAAGATTGGGACTTTAACTTCTCTCTAGGGCCGCCGTCTTGCCCAAAAGCGTCCTCCTCGAGGCACAACCCGAACTTTACAATTGGCACCGATCCGGCATGAGTGTTATTGTACTAAGCCACCGTGACGAGACGAAGATATCTATCCCGTTGAATATTTGCGGCCCAGTGACTCCGTTGATTATCTGGTTCCTGGCTCATGGGGTGACAACTTTTAAGGAAGTCGACATAAACACTGCAAGCTGAAAGTCATTTGATCCGGTAAATCAGAGAAGTCCGCCAGGGTCCCCTCATTTGATGGTTTAGAGCAAAGCTGAAACGCCAAGTATTTGCATATATGCGCCAATGAGATGATGAAACGCCAAGCCGTTGAACTAGTGCGCAGAAGAACGTGGGGCATCAGGTGCTCGCATTGTGATCGTCAGGAAAGATCTTATAGGGAACGCAAAAGCGATTACTCCGTCATGCATGACTACAATGTCCATGCTGAGAACAACTCTTTGTAAAACAAACCCTTGTTACGGGATTTGAACATCTTTTGAAGCAAGGAGTGAAGGTCGAAAAAACAGCAAGGTCACCGATGAACGTACCGTTTACATTTCGGAAACCAGAGTTGCTGATTTTTCGACCTCCTTAAATCCTGGTTCGGCATGCTTGATTGGTTAGTGCCTCAGGCTGTTCTTAGGTAGTATGATGATCTATTACAAGCAAAATCTTGGTAAACTGTTGAATATTACAAGCAGGGAACTTTAGCCAAGGCTTTTGTACAACGTTAATCAATGCAATGAAAGGTCGCTTGAATTTTGATTTTTTTTTCTCTTCATCATATTGTTATTACAAAGTCATGTATATATATATCTTAAACTTTGTAGATACATACGTAGCAACGCTTGTCTATTTCCTAATGCTTACATGTTACATCCCCTGTGGACCTCAAAAAAATCAAGAAGAAACTCAGGCTTCGAAATGAATAAAGAAGAAACTCTTGTTCAGTGCACTGCATGATATCCCAACCCAACACAACTAGTGTTGTAAGAACATAAATTTTGTGCTGTCTGATTAGTGACAGTGACGTCATTTCATGGGGCAAAGTAATATCAATTGACCCATATTCCTATATTATGTAGATTCCTGTCTTATTTGTCTTGCAGACAAACTACAACCATTTAACAAATTGCAACCGGCAGTGGACATCAATTCCCCCCATCTTCGTTTTCATCATCCAATGGCTCTGAAAAATAAGGTAGAGTTTTTCAGAATCCAACTATCCAGATATGTTTGAAATTATAATTGCAAAAACACCTTGGTCATTTTTTCTTTAAAATATAAAGAATACTTACCATTTCGATCTTCCATCTCTCGATCCAACAGCTACATGTTTAAAAAATTCTTTGGTAGCATCTGCAAGTTCATCATAGCAACCAGTAACGAAACGAACTAAAGCAAAGATGGCGTTCATTTACACCATCGAAGTTATAACAATATTCCAGGCCATGAGTTCAATTACGACAAAACACGGCAAAAAATAGTAAAGTCATTTTGTCATGAAGATTATCAATTGAAAATGAAAGTAATTTTCCTTTAAATCATTTTTGTATTTTCTAATGGAACTAACCCCACATTTTATGCAGCTTCCGGAAGATATAACCTAACCAAGACGATATAAGTTAAAGCTGAATCTGTTGGCAGAAAAAAAAAATCTCTGAACTTAGAGTGCAAGTTCAGACAACTACTGTTAGTTCCATACTAGACGAGTCCAAATTATTTCACTGGGTCAAATGTTCTTTTATGGTGTTTAACATTCATGCACAAGACCTACCGTGATTCATTGTCAAAGATGGATCTTGCTCATCTATGGATCCAATAACTTGTGCCGGTGTACCTGCTACCATACTTCAAAACACCCCAAGAAGACATATCAAACATTTAGGATTCAGTCATTAAATTTCAAACAAGGTGTAATCATGAATATTTGGGAAAGTTACAAAGGTACCTATGTGGAGGAACATGTTTTAATACAAGTGAACCGGCAGCAACCATTGCACCTTCACCTATTTTTATATTCCCAAGTACAGTTACACATGCACCGAGTAGTGCAAGGTCACCAACTTTTGGATGGCGATCACCAGTTTCCTTCCCAGTCCCACCCAATGTCACTCCCTGAAAGAAAGTGTCTTATAATGTAATTGAACAGAAGGACCTTCCATACCATAGATGCAATTAAAACGAAGTGGCTTACATGCATCAATGAAACACGATTGCCTATAACCGCTGTTTCACCAATAACAACACCAGTCCCGTGATCCAATAATATACCGTCTCCAATTTTTGCAGCTACATAAAGTCACGAAATATGAAAGGATGTTTAGATATACTCTTACGTGAGAACTGGGATAAAACTGAATAAACAAAAATCACTTTGTAAACCCTCAAAAAGAAAGATAATATAAGCTGTTTCATGCAACGAAACACAGAATTGTAACTCTTTTCCCCTTTTTATAAATAGAAGTCGTATGGAACTTAATAACGAGAGATTATATATTGTGAAAGGCATGAGAAACATGATACGATTAAAGTATAAAACATATATACCTGGATGTATGTCAACTCCAAAAACCTGAAAAGCATGTGAAAGATGTATCAAAATGGCATGCAAAAAAAATGCATAAGCCTAATCAAATAACCAGAAACAAAACTCTACCTCACTAATCCTGCTTTGCAATGCCAGTGCCAACAGTTTTCGCCCTTGCTTCCATAAGGCATGAGCTACTCGATATGACTGAAGAGAATGGTATCCCTGAAAAAGGAGGGAACTTGTAACATATTGGATACGATTGATCACATAGAATGGTGTCCAGAAAAAAGGACACTCAAAGCGCAACAGTTGCTGACAGCCTTTATTTGTCTTATATCTTAAAACATCTTCTCTTTATATCTGAAACCATCTTAAATCAACTATCTTTTTTCACCATAGGGAATACAGAAATCATAGTTTAAACACAAGGGCTGCAAAGTAACAGTTCGGGTAAAAGCTAAGACATAGTATACACGAGAAAGTACCAGTAAAAAGTATATATTACCTTAAGATAGAGTAATGCTGAACTATATGACAAACAAGCAGGATCTCTGTCCATGAATGCCTGCAGAATAACCATTTCCAAATGTAAACACATTTAAAATGATTTTCCGATGAAAACTTCTACAACCAAACATCAAATCTACACTATCTTTTAAAATTAACAAAATTACCTGTACATCCAGGCGAATTGATCTTTGAATATCCCTATCATGTATCATAACATGAGAAAATATATCCATCAGTTGAGTTGCCAAGAGTGTAGGGTTCTGTAGACGATTGGCAAGAACAAAAGCCAAAGCTTGTTCCAAACAATCATGTGCCAAGATACTCGCATACAAGAAGCTGCTTAAAATAGGCTCCTTTTCTGCCTGCAGCAAGTAGCATTCCATCAATTTTACCTCACACAAAAGCATTAGTGATTGATCGTAGAATACATAAGTTGATCCTTCATTTTAAACCATTAGTGATACCTTTAACTTCCTCACAAAAATTGACTGCCACTATTTCAATTTAACGTGCATGTGGATAATAGAAAAACCGAAGCCAGGTTAATAATCAAAACCAAGCAAATCACTCACTCGATTGAAAGATCACCAATGAAAGTCAAGTAACCACGGGAAAAAAAATTATTCATCTTTACACGAAAAAACCCAAGAGACCATCGGCTATCACCTTCTGATTATAGATTGTGCATCCTTTCACAAAACTTAGTCACAAGCAATACGAAGAAAAAAAATCCTCAACAATCAAAATCCCATCACAAACGTATCAAACAGACCATTGGAGCAATACCCAAGAAAAAAGTTCAGGCAAAAAGAAAAAAAGAGGGGGGGGGGGGAAGAATAGCTATGAAATTTGGTACCTCCAACTTGGTCTCCTCTCGCACAGCATCCCAAATTGGGTCGTGATCCGATTTGACAATAGAATCGGTTTGGGGCTCGGTAAGGCTCATTGCATAGACCGGGAACACCTTCTCGAAAGGGAACTGTACAGACTCAAGTGCGTCTTCTGTTTCGTTGAGGGATAGCCCAGTTGAAAGCATCTCGGGAAACGACTCCCAACGATTCTCACTGACACAACCCATTAAAAGATAGAGATAGAAAGGGAAATAAAAGCTAGGGATTGTTTATGAACTAACACTTCAATTCATGAACGAGCAAGAGACGGGAATCTAAAGGACAAGTGGTACAGCGGAGAAGGAACCCTTTTTTGTGTGTCTTGTTTGATGTATGCGTTATTGTGTTAATTCAAGTGTGTTCCTTGTTCTTTGAGGAGACAATGTGGTCTGATAGATTGCGTTTTTTTTTAAAGTAAATTACATTGTTTTTTTAATGAACTTTACTTTATCTCTTATTTAACTTACTATATTTTTAATTTTTTAAATTTACTCTCTGAATTTTATAGATTAAATGAATTTTGTATATTAAATCATTTTATTCACTCTATTGTTATCTCTCTAATATTATGATGATGTGTCATTTTTTATTTTTTTTAATATAAAATAATTAAAAATATAAATGGTAAATTACATTGTTCCCCACTAAATTTTACTCTCACTTTTATTTTGCTTACCTAACTATAAAATAAAAACAGAGGTGGTCGGTTGCCACCGCCGACCACTATTGACAGTCATAGATAGTGATCGTTCGGTCTTAAATTTCATGGATCACTTCGCCTCAACACCTTGAGTTCGAATCTGACCTTCATTTTGTCGAAACTTGCTCCGAAGTTCACGAATCGAATATTGAAAGTAAGGAAGCTGAAATGTTTCGGTTGAGATTCACAGACTTTGGGACATATTCCGGTGAAACAACTACCATATTTGGACTCAGGGAGACGAGACGAACCGACCCATAAATTTTGGGACTGAACGGCCACCATCAACGACGATCGACGATGGCCAAAATGAAAAATGACGTGGTGGTCGATGACGGCAATAGAGAAAAAAGAGGATTCGGAATAACGTCGTTTTGGTATATATTTGAACTTTTCAAAATGACGACGATTTGATACTTGTGTTATGTCATTTTAACCGTTAAAAGTTAACAACAGAATGAGCAAAATGATTCAATATGTAAAGTTCAATGAGCAAAATAGAAAAATCAAAAGTACGGTGAATAAAATAGGAGATAGAATAAAGTTTAGTGAAAACACTTTAATTTACAATTTTTTATTATTGTTATTGTTATTTTGGCTTCTCCCTACGAATGGCTCATATCACGTCTCTTCTTTTTTTCGCCATGGTTTGGAATTTGGGACTTGTGGATTAGGTTTAAAGTCTTCCCCCCCTACATTTTTTAATTTATTATAAATAAGGATAAATTATATGTATTTGGTACTTAAATTATTACTTTTATTTCGTTTTAATATTTATTTTTTTAAAGTGATACCGGACATTTATTTTATGTTTCATTTAAAAACCTAAAAGTGATGTTAATGTGTCACAATAGGGTAATATCACATCATCATTAAAAATAAAAATACTACATCACCGGTTCCGCTAATTTTTTTATCGATGGAGTACCAAATTAAAACACAAACTAAACATTAAGAATGGTTTTGAACAAAAACAAAATTTCAGGTACCAAAATAGAACAAAAATAATAATTTAAGTACTAAATGTGTAATTTATGTTATAAATAAATATTATTTGGGATGTACATTATAATTAAAATCTTATATATTAAATAAGATTTTGATGTACTTTATTATTAAGATTTAAACGTTTATCAATGTTAGAGTTATATATATATATATATATATATAATATCTGTTTCTTACGTCTATAACTATAGAATTGAGAAAAATATTGTATGCAATCCAAATCGAGAAATCAATATAAAATTATCTCTTTATTCTTATATTTTTTTCTATTATTACTTTATTTTATTTATTTCGTAATAGGTTATCAATACAACAAAATTATATTGATTCTCGAGATAAATTGATTTTTAATATTCATTTTAATCTTGTGGTTAATTAAAAATTTATTTGATAATTATTTGATTAGTGAAAGAGGTGAAAGAACCGTCCAGAGTTAGAGGGATGACCAAGATTGAAAGAAGTTGATATAGGAGCATTCATTAGTGATTTAAGCTAAGATATTGTACCCCTAATATTATTGTGCATCATGAAACTCATAAATATAATGTTTTGTGTGTTATGTTCTTATTGAGTATGTTCGAGTGTTAAGATATTGTACCTAATCTTATCGTGTATCATGAAACTCATCATTATTCAAATTTCTTATTTTGCTTAACGAATTTAGTGTCTCATCCAATTTAAAAAAATGGTTTATATTTTATTTAATTATTAAAGTTCAATTAAGTTTAAATGTAATAAATTATTTATTATAAATTAACTCTATTTATAAAATAAATAAAACATAATCTTTTTCATATAATATGGTGTATAATAATTTGTAAATAGGATTAAAACGTCTAGAAAATGACAAACTATGGGGGGAATCGATGGGAGAATGGCATGACAGGAAAAAGGGTGGGTCTCACTGTCCACATCTGCAGTTTCAGAAAATGCAGACCCATCTGTATATGCCCAAATTAACGTCCAGGAGCATTCTTCATTTTTATTATTGGATTTTGCTCGACACTGAGCTGAGGAATGATTATAAAAGCCATCACATGTGATGAATTTTATGTACCTTTATGAATATGTGATGGAAAATGCCAAAACTTGTTTACCTTTTCTTTTCCACTTTCAATGGCTATTCTTTTAACTCGGTTAGAGGGCCAAAACTAGTCTGATACTTGGTAATCCGAGCCGATTAGGCAAGACGAGTCGAGTCTGAGTATTGTTGAATTTAATTAGTTTAAAAATTTTAAAATTAAGTTTAATTTAAATAAAAAATTCACTATTTAAATTCAAAAATAAAAAAAATTAAAATTCGAATCAACTCGAAAACTTACGAACTTAAAACAAAAAATGAAAGAAAAAATACAAAAAAGTCATAATACCAACAAAGAAAAATATATAAAAATTAGAATAAATTAACCACATTAAATAATTATTTCTCCTAAAATTATCGAAGGATAAAACTAGACAATAAATAGTGAAAATAACATCATACATGAAAATAGTTAAAAATCAATCAAACAACTCAAAAAGTAGGGATACAAACAATATCGATGTCAATACCAATATTGAAGATAAAGGATAAATACCATCAAGGCATCAATACTAACATAAAAATAAATATAACGATGATGTAACATTGACAATTGAGTTTGTCACAATTCAAGTTCGACCTATATAAGATGATTGCAAGTGCTTATATAAGGGTCCAAATCAGGGATAAATCAACAAGATAATCATATAAATGTTAACAAGATATGACTTTAAATTAAACCCTGAAAAAATACTACAATAATAATACAAAAATCATTATTCTCGTTAGAAAATGAAAAGACTTATTTAATAAAATAACACAAAAACTCAAATACGAGAAAATATTAAAACTAAACAGATGAAAAAAAAATATGGAAGAGAATATAACAAGACGACAACAACAACAACAACAAAACCCTATTCCCATATACAATGGGGTAAGGGGGAGGTAGGGTAGTAGGCTGCCCCCAACGCCAGGTAGAGAGCAGCTTCCGTGGAAGACCTCTGGCAGTCAGAAAATTAAAAATAAAGATAAAATAAAATGCATGTATAAATAAATAAATAAATACATAGTTGAACAGACTTCATATGCAGTCTTCATATGCGCATCTGTAATGGGAAGTAATCCCTGCAAATAAATCCTTATGTAAAAATCTCTGCATGTAGACAGAAAACGTAAGTCCCGGCTAAATTTAAAAAAGAGGAAACATGAAGAGAATGATACACAGTAGTCAGCGATAGCAAGCTACGAGAAGGTATAAAGTCAATTGGGTTAAAACCTAAACCAAGGCAACACTACTCTGCTACCCTAGTTCTAAGCCTTCATAAATTCCAATGACAGAACCGTATAAAAAGTAGAAGTCATGAAATTACTACAAATGCATTAAAAAAGAAGACAGAGATGCTACACCCTATGGTTGTGGCCCACACTACTCGGCTACCCTGGTCTTAAGTCTTCATACTTTCCTGTCAGAGGTCATGTCCTCGGTAAGGGCTAAATCCTTCAAATCAGATCTCAAGCAGTCTACCCACTTCCTCCTTGGTCGTCCTCTCCTTCTGGTACCGTCGGCTGTAATCGAATCTACCCTCCTGACCGCATTCGACGGTTGTCGCCTAAGGACATGCCCAAACCACCGAAGTCTTCCCTCCCTCAATTTTTCGGATACAAGCACCACCCCCAAGGACATCCTAATTGCAGAGTTTGTTGTCATGTCCCACAGAGTCCTACCACATACTCATCGAAGCATTCTCATTTCTGCGGCCTCTATCTTCCTTACGTGATCATTCTTGATTGCCCAACATTCTGATCCATACAACAGTGCTGGTCTTATTGCCATTCTATAAAATTTTCCTTAAGTTTTAGAGGTACCTTCTTGTCAGACAAAACTCCAGTACCAGCCCTCCACTTTAGTCATCTCGCCTTTATACGGTGTGTAACGTCATCATCTTCACCCCTATCTTTATGTATCATAGACCCTAGGTACTTGAAATAATCATTTGAGGGGAGAACGTGTCCTTCGATGCAAACTTCTACATCTTCATCGTTTTGGTTCCCACTGAAGTTTGAACATAAATACTCTGTCTTTTCAATATTGATCCTTAGACCTTTTTTTTCTAAAGCAGTCTTCCAGGTAGCTAGTCTACTATTCAGCGCATTTTTTGTTTCAGCAACTAGGACAATATCGTCAGCGAAAAGCATACACCATTGGACACCGTCTGGTGTCGCACAATAGATGTCTTCCATAATCAATGCGAAGATGTAAGGGCTAAGAGCCGACCCCTGGTGGAGTCCGATTTCCACCGAGAATGCCTCGGTGTAGCCAACTGTAGTCCTAACGTATGTAGTAGATCTACAGTACATATCACTAATCGCCCAGATATAAGTAGTTTGGATCCGTCTTGTTTCCAATGTCTTCCAGATCGTATAGCGGGGTACGCTATCATATGCCTTCTCAAGGTCATTGAACGCCATGTGAAGATCTCTATTTTTTTCCCTATATTTCTCCATAAGCCGTCGAAGTAG